TATCCTTTATTATTTTCTCTTTCCATTGTTGGTTGTTTACTTATGTATTCTGTTTTGCTTCCTAAATTGTGTGTGGCAAAGTGAGTTGGGGGAGTTCCTCCTCTTTCCCACCCAACAAGAGACAGAAACTCTTACAAGCTAGCAACAACTGTTCTCTGCTGCTCCACCCATGGGAAAAGAGCCAATACCAGCTCCTATACCACCTGATGGATGACAGACAGCATTCAACACCAGTCAAAACCACCTTAAACTGAGGTGTATAAATGGCAAACAGACAACAATACACACGCTTCCATTCTCTAGCTACACCCATAGAAGACAGTTGGTGAGAGACTAAGAACACAACAACATACAATTATCAATTAAATACAAATACAAAAACACCACAATGTCCAAGAGACAACAGAAAATTTTAGCTCACACAAAGAAACAAGAGAGAATGGCACAAACCAATGACCGAAATATAGATCCAAAAAAGGTAGTGGAACTAACTGAAAGGGAACTCAAAAGAATTATACTTAGGTACCTACAAAAGATGGACAGAAAGATCAAAGGAAGCTAGGAAGACTCAGGAAAAAATGTTTAGAAGAATTCAGGAAAAGACTACAAGAACAGATATATAAAATAAATGCAAATTTTGAAACAATACAAAACCTGCGATTACAAAACCAGAAGATTAATACTAAGATTTTCAAAATGGACAATATTTTAAAAGAGCAAAGGAGTAGATTCAAAGCAATGGAATCCCAAATTACTGAGCTTGAAGATACATCTCTCAATACTAGTATACTAGAAGAAAAATCAGAAAAAAGAATGAAAAATTCTGAAGAAAGCCAAAGAAATATGTGGGATACCATCAAGAAGAACAACTTAAAGATGACTGGAATTCCAAAACAGGAACAGACAATAAAAAGCACAGAGAAAATTGTCTAAGAGTTGTGGGAAGAAAACTTCTTTAACATCATGAAAGACAATAAGATAAGCTATACAAGAAGCTGAACGAATCCCAAACAGGATAGACCCCAAAAGAAAATTAACAAAACATATCATAATCAAACTTTCCAAAACCAAAGACAAGGAAAGAATCCTGAGAGCAGATTGGGAAAAACAAAAAGTTACCTACAAAGGAGAACCAATAAGACTAAGCTCTGATTTCTCAACAAAAACCATACAAGCAAGAAGGCAATGGAATGCCATATACAAAACTCTGAAAGGAAAAAATTGCCAACCAAGAATCATATACTCAGAAAAGCTGTCCCTCAAAGTGTTGTTGTTGTGAGGTGACTTCAAGTCAGTACCAACTCGTAGTGATCCTATGCACAACAGAACGAAGTACTGCCCGGTCCTGGGCCAACCTCACAATTGTTGCTACGCTTGAGTCCATTAATGCTGCCACTCTGCCAATCCATCTCTCTGGGGGTCTACCTCTTTTTCTCTGACCCTCCACCTTACCAAACATGGTGAGATTAGTATATTCCCAAATAATCAGCAATTAAAGGAATTTGTAATAACAAGACCAACTTTACAAAAAATACTAAAGCATGCTCCTTGGACTGAGAATCAACAATAGCAGACAACAACCTGAGATTAACATGCATGGCAACAACACCGAGAACTCAATCCAGATATAGAAGCATTTAAAGCAAAATTTACAAGACAAGGATGCCCTGTATCACCACTCCTACTCAGTATTGTATTGGAAATCCTAGCCAGAGCTATAAGACAAGAAAGGGAAATTAAACACATCCAAATTGGCAAAAAGAAGTAAAACTCTATTTGTAGACAATATGATCCTACACTTATACAATTCCCAAAGACTGCAAAAGAAATTTGGAACTCTTCAATAAATACAGCAACATGGCAGGGTAGAAAATCAACAAACAAAAATCAACTGGATTCCTTTACAATCACAAAAGGACAAATATTGCATGAGGCCACTGTTGTAAAAAGGGCAGGTGAGATTGAAAAATAAAATGAATCGAGGTAAACACTGCTTTTTAAAAATAGCATAAAAAAAAAAAAAAAAAAACAGCTAATGATCTGTTCCATAAACCTTCACTCAAGTCACAATAAAAAGTTAAAAAAAAAAAAAAAAAGAATTAGCTACATGGGACCAAAGTGACAACAGCAACTCACAAGAAACTATAGGGAGCAGTGGACTTACGTATTCATAAAGGAGGAAGAATCCAGAAAAGGAAGATGAAAATGCTCATACAATTTGAAGCTTACCCTCAGTGTCACTGAACTGTGCATGTACAAATTGGTGTACGTTTTGCTGTGCATATTCTCAATGACTATTTAAAAAGAAAGAGAAAGAAGTCCTGAGCTCAGTCACCCGCTCACAGTGAAGCCCTGGGAGAGCCAGGGACATCTCTGGACCTCAGCCTGTTTGTCTGTCTGTGTGAATGTTGGGAGTACCCCTCTCCCATACAGGGTTATTTGGTGGAGGTTCCCACAATGTATGTAAAGCACTGATAGTAGGCACGATAGGAATCCTGAAGAGTCTAGGATTTGAGTACAGACCCCACCACTTTCTTATTCTGTGTTCTTGGGAGAGTCGTTTACTGTTCCTGAGCCTCAGTTTCCTCAATAAAATGGAAACAATAATATATCACAAGGTCAGCAGTTCAAATGCATCAGCCGCTCCATGGGAGAAAATGAGGCAGTCTGCTCCCACAAAGATTTAGTCTCGGAAACCCTAAGGAGCAGTTCTACTCTATCTGGAGGGTCACTGTGAGAAGGAATTGACTTGAGAGCAGTAGGTTTGGGTTTGCAGGCAGCCCTGAAGACACATGTGCTTGTGCATCTCAAGGGGCTTCCCAAAGCCCCAAGGAAAGGTACAGTGACAAGCAGGTGGATCAGTCAGAGATAGGACAGGACCCAGGGAAAGGGAGTGTGCACGGCTCAGAAGCAGCCAGCTGCTACCCAGCATGCAGGGAAGGTCCCCTGGCCTGACCCACGCCACTTCCTTTCCTTAGGGCCTCACTGGGGCTCCCCTCCCAGCCATTCTTGGCAGTGGGTGTCTTCAAGGGCAGTGGGTGGTGCGGCAGGACCCTGAAAGAGGCACATCTCAGTTAGGCTTCAGCCCTGCCAGCTGGGAGTAAAATGGGCAGCTTGTCGGAGGGAGAGAGTTGGATTGGAAGCCAGGAGAAGGGGAGAGACCAGTTTGCCTCTCCAGTCTGATGGTTCATGTCCACTCAGCCCAGTCTCAGTGTAGGGATGCCCAAACCCTCAACCTGCTTTCAGTCCCACAACAAATCTAGCCTCTCACCACATCCTGGGGCAGGCCCTGGGAAACGCACCTGGAAGTTACCACCACCAGGTGGACTCCTCACAAGGCTGCAAGGAGAAACACCAGGTCCAACCTGGCCTGGCCTGGTCCCTAGAACCTCCAATACCAAACTGTGGAGAATGGGTACCATCACTGCTTTGTTCTGCCTGTGCCTGGGAGAATAGATACATGTAATATGTACATTGTTGCTAGCGGCTATAGGGCATTCTGGTGTGGCTCTGTAGGATAAGCACTGGACTGCAAGGTTGGTAATAAATACATGTAATATGTATATTGTTGCTAGTGGCTATGGGAAGTCCTGGTATGGTGCTGTAGGATAAGCACTGGACGAGGTTGGTTTGAATTGCAAGATCATCAGTCACTCCTCGGAAACCATGCACAGGGTCGCTATGAGTCAGAATTGACTCAATGGAACTTAACAATAACAATATGGATACAGAGTCAATTCTGATTCATGGTGACCCAAGTGTGCAGAGTAAAGTTGCTCCATAGGATGTTCAGGTCTGTGACCTTTCAGAAGCCAAATATCAAGCCAGTCTTCTGAGGCGCCTCTCAGACAACTTTTTGGCTTAGTATTCTATTGAGTAACTGTGCTCCCCCATGGTCCCCCTATATGTACATGTATACATGTTTACAGGATATACAAATGACTCCATCTCTAGTCCATAAGATCCATGAGGCATGTGATTTTTGTGTCTGGTTTGTTCTATGATGAATTCCCAGCACTTAAAACAGTGCCTACAGGTTCCTGTGTGTTTGCATTTAGCTGATAAGCTAAAGTTTAGCCACCCACCAGTACAGTACCATGGAAGAAAGGCCCAGCCATTTGTTCCCATAAAGATTGCAGTCCAAAACTCTGTGGGGCAGTTCTACTCTGGAACACATGAGGTTGCTATCAGTTGACACACTTTGCTAGTAATAAGCTTGTTTTGTTTTTTATAATAGCAATAACGGAACTGGGTTCCATAGGGTTTTCAATGGTTGCAGGGTTTTGTTTTGCTTTGTTTTTTGGGGGGGGGGCTTTTTTCCAAGGCACCTCTGGGTGTAGTTGAACCTCTAACCTTTAGCAGTTGAATGCACTTACCATTTGAACCTGGAGGCCTGGTGTGGCGCTATGGGTTAATGCGCCAGACTGCAAAGCTGTTTGAACTGCAAGGTTGGTGGTTCAAGCTCACCAGCTGCTCCTTGGAAACCCTATACAGGGTCACTATGGGTTGGAATTGACTCTACGGCACTTAACAACAACACCATTTGAACCACCCAGTACTTAATAAGCATGCTGAACGTACAAATCCATCAAGAAATCAAAGGATAGAGAAATGAACCAATGACTTATTACAATCCCTGTGGTCAGAAATGTTTTTCTTCATTTGTTCTTTGATAGATCCCCAGTGCCTATTGACATATAGGGGGTGCCTAGTAAACTGACTCAACGGCACTTAACAACAGCAACAGTAAAATATATGTGAGTGCATGATTGAGTCAATGAACATTAGGATGTAATCTCCCGAAAGACAAGGATTTCCCTCTGTTCTATGTATAGTTGGATTCTCAAGTGTCTAGGGCAGTGTTTGGTGCATAGTTTATTATTTGTGAATGAATCAGTGAATGAATGAATGAATGAATGAATATGATCCCGGAAGTATGAAACACAAAGGGGGTCCTGCTCTAGCTGAGCACTGCCCCCGGCCACCACTCGCCTCCTAGTTTTTTTAAATAATTTGTTGGTTGTTTTTAATTGTTGAGGCAGTAATACTTGGTTCATGAAACTGCAATATACAGAGAAGTGAAATAAATAGCTTATATATATATAATATATATAATATAGCTGGTTTTAAAATATTCCCTTATCATTGGTGTACTAGGTCACGTGAGTCACGGAAGGACGATAGCAGCATCTTCCAGAACTGCGAGCAATGCAGGGTCACCATGATTGGACGAGGCCGTCTGTCGTCAGGAGGTCGAGGCGCGGAGAATTCCAAGGGTCACGCCTTCCCTGCGCGGTGTCTCGGGACAGCTTGCAGCAGACAATAAATAAATGACTGCAAACCAGAGAGCGATTTTTGTTGGAGTTTGGGGCAGGACTGGGTAAGAGAGGGGTGGGGAGTTTGTTGGGTGGTACGACTTTCTCTTTCTCTTTTTTTTTTTTTTTTTTGCAGAACCTTTGGGAAAAAGGACTTTGGTTTCTCAGGGTGTCGTTTTCCTCATTCAAGTCCTCCTCTGGGGACAAGTTTAGAGTTGTCTGTTCCTCGAGAAAGACAAGCACCTGTGGGTTGACAACAATCCCTTTACACAAGTCTTTTGTCATCGAGGGTTTCAAGTCAACAATAAATTCCTTATCGCACCCCCTCCCCCCAAGAGTTTTGGTTCAGTTTTTGTCTTCTTTTAAACACAATATACAAAAATAGAGCTTCTTCCTTATTTTTCATGTAAAAATATTCCTCTGACGCAGTTCTCTGTGAGTGTGAGTGTGGGCTGGGGCGGCCTGCAGGGGCCACGCTAGGCAGCCTAGCCGGGATGCGTGGGGCGGATCCGCCGGGACCTCTTGGTCACCGTTGTATACTTGAAGGGCTTCTGCAACTCGGCCTGCCCCTTGGGGTAGCGCTTCATGAAGTGCACGTCCTGCTGGTTCTCCCGGGTCTTGGGGCCCTTCCGCGGCCGCCCCTTCTTAGTAAAGCCCACGTACCAGCCAGAGTATTTTGCAGACATCAGGGCAGTGTAGTTGTTCTCCAAAACCTTCTCGATGAACACACACTCCTTGCTGGTGCCATCAGGCTGTAGGGAAGAGAGGAGAAGGTAGTGAGAAAGGGAAGGTAGGGTGCAGGCCTGACGTAGGACGAAAGTAGGATGAAGGCCTGAGGTAGAACGCGTACATACAGAACAAAGCTCTGGTCTCAATCCCTGTCACTTTATGGATAAATTATCAGTCATTTCCACACCCTTCTCTATCCTCCAGTTAGGTAAGACTCCATCCTCATCCAGAAACCCATTTCTTCTCAACCTCCCCTAGGTTCTTCCTCAACCCTGCTAGAGAAAGAAGCCCAGACAAAGCCATTCACAACATGATTTCCCCTAGGTCTTGGTGACTGGCTATGAGTTAACCATGTGACTTAAGCTGTCCAATCAGAATGATCCTTGAGAGCTTTCTGTATTTTTTTTTTTTTAAGTTGCTGTCCAATCATTTCAGACTCATGGTACCCCCATGTGTTGCAGAGTAAAACTGTGTTCCATAGGGTTTTTATGGCTGTGGAGTTTTGGAAGCAAATCACCAGGAATTTCTTCCAAGGAGCCGCTTGGTGAGTTCCAACCACCAAACTTTCAATTAGTAGCTGAGCACTTAACCATTTATGCCACCTTGGGGATCCCTCAAAAGCTATAAGCAGATTTCAGCGTGGGAAGTATGTAAGGCTGACGCTGGGGAATCCGTTTTGCCACCTTGCGGAGGAATGTCTGTCTGACAGTGAAGCCAACAGAGAGGAAGCAAAGCCAAGAGGAAGAGATCAAGAGAAACCAAGTCTTGATCACATCATTTGGGCTCTGGATCAAGCTGCTCCTGAAGTTCAAGTTACTTCACAGTTCTGAAGGTCAATCACAAGAGCCCCAACTGATGCACCAAAAACCTGACATTAGTTGAACTCAATGGTACTTCAACTCCACTGTTATACAGTTAAATATAAACTACATCTAATGTGGATTTGTAAGGGCATTGTAATGTTTAATAGGAAGTGGGTTAAATCAAACCACCAAACCAAATCCAAGACCACTGAGTAAATGCTGACTCACAACAACCCTTCACAAGGTTTCCAAGACTGTAATATTTTCAGGAGCAAACAGCCTCACCTTAGTCCTACAGACTAGCTGGTTGGTTTAAACTGCCGATCTTGCAACTAGCAGCCCAATGCCTAACCCACCCACAGAGCCACCAAGAATCCTTGAAGTGGATTGCTGTTGTTGTTAAGTGCCAATGAGTCGGTTCCAACTCATAATGACCCTGAGAAATGGCTAGTGGGTTTGAACCACCAAGCTTGCAGCTAGCAATCCAGTACTTTATTGTACAGCACCACACCAGGGCTCCATGAAGTGGATTTGTGGACTCCAAGACTGAGAATTTTAGCACAGCAAACTCCTGAGCCTGTGCCCTAGCATTTGGATCTCATGCTCCCAAGGAGATATATGAACCCCCAGGAGACAAGGTAGGAGTCCTGGTGTGGCACTGTGGGTTAATGCGCCAGACTGCAAAGCTGTTTGAACTGCAAGGTTGGCAGTTCAAGCTCACCAGATACTCCTTGGAACCCCTATACAGGGTCGCTATGGGTCAGAACCGACTTGATGGCACTTAACAACAACAACAAGCCAAGCCAGCTCTGAGATTTCTTGCTTGACCATAGACAAGTTAATTCCACTCTCTAAACCTGATTCCTTGTCACAGAGGTGCTGTAGGGAACAAGCACTTATAAATGAGTCTGATGCACAGAAGCTTGCTAACTTATTTTTGAAGAGCAGGTGGTTCTGACTGGTCTGAGCGCCCTCCCTCAGATCTGATCTGGACAAAGGTGGGTAGGGAGGCTGGATTTTGAATCTCCTCCCCTAGAAAGCCGACTTGCTCCATGGGCAAGAGTGGGAAACACAGAGAGTTGGAGGCCTGAATTAGCAGCACTCGAGTTTCCAACTAACATCTCCAAATTTAGGCTGGGCCCACTCCTCGTTAAGGACGGCTGCCTGGCCAAGTTGGAAGCCCAGCAGTCTGGCTGTGTGTGGAGACTGAGGTGCGAGTTCCAGCCTTTTGTTTGAAGTGGAAAATGGGCAGGAGTTTCCAGGAACGTTCACCTTTGAGCAGAGGGCAAGCTTGAGCCCTGCAGACAATGTGCTGAACTTTGCAGAAAGGGACAGGCAGGGTAAGAAAACACTCTTTGGAGGATGAGATCTTTTGAGGAGACTGTAGAGCAGGCAGGGAGCAGACCTGGGAAACCTACCTGGGGGCCCAGAGGACAGCCTGAGAGGGACTATTGTGGCAAAAGACAAAGACATATGTACAAGGGGAATAGAGGGGAGTAGTCTCTGGGTTCTGGGTCTCCCATGTATAATTTTAGAAACTGCCTGCCAGACCTGAGTCCAGGTTCCTTGCCTGTTCTCCACTGAACAATCAGAGCAAACTGAACAGGGCCTACATTATGCTGTTTGTCTGCCAGCAGTACCTACCACTGCCTGGAAAACAGCTTTCATCCTTCAAGATTCAGTCAGACATTGCCTCCTCTAAGAAGCCTTCCCAGACTGCCATTTTTTTCCCCTGGGCAATTCCTACTCTTCCCTCAAGATTTCACTCTAACTTCAGACTTTCCTGGGTTCACATACTCCATCTTCTGGACCTCCCCTTAGCACCCATTCTTCCCTCCAATCCCCAACAGAGTAATTTGTGCCTGCCTGCCTCCTTATTCACTCAAGAGAACTGCTTGTTCATATCTTCACGGCTCAGCACGGGCCTGAGCCCAAGACAGGCATCTCCAGGGTTTGTGGGTGAAGGGTGACAGCTTCATGGGCTACATATCGTGAGAGTGATGCAGGGACAGTCAGGAGCTATGAGAGGTCCTTCCTATGGATGTGGGTGAAAAGAGGGAAAAGCAACCAGAGGGTAGAGTTTTCTGCCTGGCCCAATTGGTCTCCTTTCCTTTTCACTTATTCATTCATTTATTCAGTGTTTACTACCTCTGGTAGCATAGTGGTTACGAATAGGGCTGTGAACCTCACAGTCAGTAGTTCGAAACTACCAGCTGTTCCGCAGGAGAAAGATGAGGCTTTCTGCTCCCATAAAGATTTACAGCCTCAGAAATCCTGTACAGGGTCGGTATGAATCGGAACCGACTCCACGGCACATAACAACAACAACAACTACTACTACTACTACAGGACTATGGGGTCCTGGTGTGGCACTGTAGGATCAGCACTGGACTGTTAACCTCAAGGTTGGTAGTTCAAACCTACCAGCTGCTCCTTGGAAACCCTATACAGGATCACTAAGAGTCAGAACCAACTCAACTCAATTGCACTTAATGACAACCACAAGTAAGACATTTTCGCATCTATTATTTTATTTGGAATCCTGGTATAGAGCTGTAGGATAAGCATTAGACTGCTAACTACAAGGCTGATGATTTACACCCATCAGCAGATCAGTCAGACCTATACAGGGTCACTATGAGTCAGAACTGACTTGATGGCACTTAACAACAACAACAAATTATTTTATTGAATCCTCTTTATTCACTGAAGTAAACTCTATCTGATAAGAAAAACAACATTCAGAAGCCAAAGGGCTTGGCCAAGAGACTGAGACTGAGTCCACACGGAGACCCAATCCAGAGACCGAGTCCACACAGAGACCCAATCCAGAGACCGAGTCCACACAGAGACCCAATCCAGAGACCGAGTCCACACGGAGACCCAATCCAGAGACCGAGTCCACACGGAGACCCAATCCAGAGACCGAGTCCACACGGAGACCCAATCCAGAGACCGAGTCCACACGGAGAAAGTGTGTGGAAGAGCAGGGATTACTTGTCACAACACCTCCCCCAAGCCCACACAGCCACCATGGCACAGAGTAAGGTTTGTAAGGGGCTAGCATAGTGCCTGGCAAACATGCTTTATACATCTCTGGGTTTACTGAAGAAGGTTGAGATCGATTGCAGACTGAATTTCCCAAAACTCCAGAGCTCAGGGGTGGTAGAGCAGACCACTTGGGAGGGAGCCATGGGTCCTATGATGATCACAAGGTCCCCACCATGAACAGAGCAGATAAGAAGAAGCTCGGGACAGGCCACTCCTGGGCTTGCCTCCATCTCGGCCTCTGACTAGTTCTATGACCTTGTTTATTACTGTCAAAGATTTTTTTTAAACACCTGGGCCTCAGCCCTACCCCTGGAAATTCTGACTCAGTTCAGGCAAGACAGAGACATCAGTATTGAGAGAGTAAGTGAATCTCCCATCTCAGGACCTTGGTGATTTTGTGGGATTTAAGCACCCTGGTGGTGCAATGGTTTAAGCACTCGGCTACTAACCAAACTCTTGGCAGTTAGAATCCACCAGCTGTTCTATGAGAGAAAGCCCGTGACAGTCTGCTTCCATAAAAGATTTACAGACTTGGAAACCCTATGGAGCAGTTCTACTCTGTCCTATGGGGTCACAATGAAACAGAATCAACATGATGACAATGAGTTTATGGGTCTCCCCTACTACCACCTCCAACCTCCTTATTTCCAAACAGGATCCTATTCATGCTTCTATTTGGCTTGAAAACTGAATCCTCGTGGCATTAATGGGTCCCTAGATCCATTCTTACCTAAAACTAGACTGATCCCTGGACCTTTTAGCTTTATATATTTTCTGGTTGCTACTGTTAAGTGCTGTCGACTCAGTTCCAACTCCTAGTGACCATGTCTGTATAGGGTTCCCGAGATGTGGCTGGTGGGTTTGAACTGCCAACTTTGCAGTTAGCAAGCCAATGTTTATCTTATAGCACCACACCCAAATTCCAGCTTTATATATTGTTCTTAAGTGCTGCCAAATCAGTTCTGACTCACAGAGATCCTGTATATGGTTTCCAAGGAGCAGCTGGTAGGTTTGAACCACGGACCTTGATTTACAAACTTCCCTAAATTCCTTTTTTGGCTTAAGGCATTTTGAGTTGGGTTTCAGTCAAACTGACCAAAACAGTATTAACACGACCATAGTGGTGGTCCAGGGACCCCCTCACTGAGAGGGTCGGTGGTTCTATGCTGCCCAAAGACTTATCAGTGATGATATAGAGGTGGGACAGATAAGAAAACTCCTATCTGTGTGGAGCCTCCAAAGACAGGGAAAAATGCTTAGCACTTAGTAGCTATTACAGAATGAAAGAAAGTATTGCTTTTTGTGGGGGTGAGGCAGAAAGGAGGGCGAACTGCACACACAAGGGATGGGTAGGAATCAAAGCTTGGCATATGATTGGTACAATTGGTCAGAAGGGATAATCACAGATAAGGACCTCGAACATCTGAAAAGGGGCTCAATGCATGTGCCCTGCTATGGCCAGAGCATGGGCAAGACCCAGGATCAAAAGAGCCCAGGAAAGCTATCCCGCTGAGCCTCTTTGCCACTCCAAAAGAGCAGAAATCAGAGCCAGAGTTGAGGCCAGTGGTCCTCAAAGGTGAAGGTGTGACTCTGTGACCTGGCTGCTTAGGAGAAAGGAACTAATATTTAACACATGCCTAGAGTGCCAGTTTATCATTCCAAGGAAGGACACTAAGGCTCAGTGAGATCAGGGCCCTCTGATGCCCTGGCCTGGCATGGATAAGCCTGGCTATTGGTCATGATTCAATCCTTTAGAAAGCTAGAATCACATTTTTACTTCTTTGGTGCCCTACTGTCTTCTGGCCAGGTGCCCAGAGTAGAGATGGAAAGACCCAGAATCGGCCTTCAATGAGCTCCCAGTCTAGTGGGTACAACTCTAGTGGACACAGATGATACTCAGGTTGCTAAGCAACAAAGGGCTGTTCAAGGGGCTATGGGTCTGGGATGGGTGGTCTAAGTAACGGAGTCAGGGAAGACTAAAGGATTCTGAAGGATGAGCAAAGGAAGGGTAGCTGCGATGCGGAAGAACAGCTTCACAGAGCTTTGACGGTCCCAGTCAAAGAACGGTGGTCAGCAGTACCATGTGCCTGTGGCATTAGTGTGAGGACAGACAACAGGCTTCCCTGGGATCCTGAGTCTTCCACCAAGAAGAGAACTTTCTCAAGCAGGTGGTGGGAACCCATGGATGGATGGGTTTGGGATTGAGGAGGACTAAAGGCCAGAGAGACCTGATCTCCGTTGTGCCTTGGAAAGCCGAGGATGAAACAGTGGGGACAGGCTGGAAACCCACCCAGAAAAGGCAACCACGAAGGTATGATCCCTTGACAGAAGTAGGGGTTAGAGAAAGAAGGACAGCTCTCAGCTCTCAAGGTTGGGTAATCCCAGGACCCGGGGGCCCTAACGGATCAGGGAAGCTGCAGTTAGACATCAGCACTGGAAACTACAAGTGCAGCGTCAGGAGCCTAAAGAAGCCAACAGAGGGACCTTCGCGGGGCAAAGTTAGGACAGGTGGATTTAAGGGTGCCCTCGAAAACCCCCTGTCAGGCAGCCCAGAATAAAAGAGTCTGGAAGTGGGTAGGAAAATTGCAAGGGGTGGTGGCCGGCGTGGAGGTGGGGGGAGTGTCGGGCTTCCGCCGCTGTGTCGAGTGGAGCGCCAGCTAAACCGTCACCAATATTATTGACTGGAGAGAGGGCGAGGGGGCAGGAAATCGGAGCCGGCTCCTGTGGAAGCGGTGACTCAGCGGCCAGCCGGCGGGCGGGAGGGCGGCCCGGCGGCGGGGGCAAGCGGCCGGAGGGGACGGGACTGCTCTTTTGACCCCACAATGGCCCTCCTGGGGTCACCATGCCGGGAACCTCGCGCAGACGGGGCGGGGCGCGCGGGGCGCGGCCGCGTGGGCACTGGGCACGGGCGGGGCGATGTGAGCCCCTTCCTTAAAAAAAGAAAGAAAAACGAGCCTAAAACTCAAAGCAGGTTGGGCCTGGGAAGCGGCCCAGGCGGGCAGGAGAACAAAGCGCCTGACGCGGGGCCGGGCCGCCGCCACAGGAAACGGCCGGCCAGGAGGACCCGGCGCCCGCCCGCGCCCCCAGCCCGGCCCGGAGCTTCCACGCCGGCCGGCCGGCCTCAAAACTGCGCAGAGTGAATCACTAATTAAAACCAGTCCTCCGCATCGAGAAGACGCACTCTCCGGATTACTATTATTTTGCTCTTTGGGAAGCTTAAGTGAGTGTGGGCAGTGCAGCTGGAATCTTTCCCTTCGAAATAGGGTTCCGAATCCCCGCCTAGCTCTAGCGTGGGACTTGGGACAAGTGCCCAGGGCACCGCCACGCCTCAACTTTCACATCTGTGGAATGGGTACGGCAGTAGCAGCGACTTTGTGGGATACTTTGTGAGCGCTTTTGTTCAGAGGCAGGCAGAAAGTAGGTGCTCTTAATGGAGACAATCGCTACCCTTGTTATTAACTAATATAATAATAATACAGCATCAAAACCCTGATTCCAGTTCTTGGCTTGTTATACTCTCCTTGATGCCCTTGGCATGGAGAGGAGGGCACAGAGAGAGGGGTAGAAAGTGAAGCATTCAAAAAATCAAAAACAGTGTTTGTCTACAAGATTGTAGTCACCTTCTGCCCCAAACAAAGTGCATTCAAAGGTCAATCATCAGCCAGGGCCTCACTCTCAAGCAGAAGTTCCCTTGGAATCTGGGGTTACCCTCTACCCCTAATTCACCTGCCAGACAGAGCCTCCTCCTCCCAACTAAGCAAGATGGATATGGAGGTGAATACCGTCCCTGCAGAGAGAAGGGGGTTCACAGTGACAGACTCCCTGTGAACCCACACAGGAAGTAAGTGTGTGAATATCACAAAACCAGCAGACCCAGAAAAAAAGAGGAACACAGATGTGCAGCACCAGTGGAGGCATGTAAGTCCATCCCCACACCCACCCTAATTCATTACATGCAGCCCTCTGGTCCGTTCCAAAGTAATAAAATCTTTCTGAAATGCTAGAACCGTGAGGCCCAGCGTGCTGACGAAAGGCTGGGTTCTGGAGGTCGCTGCTGCTCGATGCTGTAAACCCCTGGTGAATGTTAAAATAATCACTGCAGCCACTGCTCTGAGCCTGCCAGTTCCCTGTTCCCAGACATCAGGTACACACACAGTCAGAGAACCCCAGAACACCCCAATGGCCCTCCCACTACCAGAGCTCCACATCTACCATCTACCAGGATACCCCAAAGTCACAGTCATGGAAATCTTGGCCTGGCAGACTGAGGTGCCAGGCAAAGAAGGAGAGGGGGAGAAATTGCAATGGGAATCACACACATATATATACACACTTACACGGCCTGCTTTTCACTGGGACCTGACAGGGCCCTGGACATGTATCCCAGCTCCCCAGAAATGCCAGGGAACTCCCAGCCTCCCCATGAATTCAGGGCCCTCACTCACCTTCCCCACAAGCTTGCCTTTCCGGTTCATACACAGGTAGAATTCGGTCTCCTTGCCCTTGATCCGGACTTGACTACCAAAGGTGTCTGTCTCCACTAGGAGCTGGGCTTCGAAAGACAGAAAGAGAACAAAACAGATTTTTTACCAGGGGCAGTGGCTTGACCTAAAGACTCAGTGACTCATGATCCCAGACCCTGTCCCTGGTCCCCCATCCCCTACCCCTCAAACTGAGAGATGGAAGCCATCCTTCCCTCTTATATTCCCCACCCCTCGGCCTCTCTTGACTGCACTTGGGATGCAGGTAGCTCCAGCCACCAGAGACCAGTTCTGCCCCTTGTGGCTAAATAAGGGTGTGTCTGGCTTCTCCCCAGCCCCTTTCTGCCATTCCCCAAAGCATGACCAGCAGCCCAGAAATAATCTCACCGCCCCCCTACCCCCCCAAGTCAGACAGAGAGCCATACAAAGAACTTCATTTCCCAAAACAGGGCCAAAGTCATACAAATAACCCCAGAAAAGCTGCAGTCTCGAGACTACAGAGACAGAAAGATGTATGTATGCACACCTGCCCTGTGTGTATGCCCTTGCACACATACATACATACATACACTTACCCACACCCGTCTTTGGGGGTGTCATGTTACTTCCTCTCTGGGCACTTAAAATGGGAAGGCACATGGAGGGGAGGTGTAGGCCCCCAGGATATAATCAGAATATTCTCCCTCCCTCAATCAAACCCATCAAGGCTAAGGCGTAACCAACTCCCAGGAGTCCCGAAGTCCCAATCAGGACGGAATATCCCCTATTCTGGGAGTGGGAGATTCCAATGCTAGACCACCCCCTCAGGATGAGTTTATCTAGCGATGACTCTCTGCCACAGTCCTGACTAAACAAGGATATCAAGTGGCCAAAAGGTGGCCATCCACTGGTTAGGTATGCTATGTTCAGAACCCTCCCTTTCCTCTGTCAGTCCACATTTTCTCCCCATTAGACTGTGTGATTTGGGGCAAAACATGGACTCTCTCTGAGCTCCCTCTATCTGTGCCTGGTCCTCCCCTCCACGGCCTTCACTGCCACCTTCTTTGGTTCTGCACCCCACCCCCATTCTCCCACTCCCTTCCTGCATCTGCTCTTCCCTCACCCACAAGATTTTAATTGCAGTGACAAGGGCCTTGCTTCTCCATAACAAAAATCACAGCCCCAACTTTCTGTGTACAGTATCCTTGGAGCCACAAAGAGTGTACCTCAGTGCCCTTAAAAAACACTGGGTATGATTTTAATAAAAAAAATTTTTAAATATATACCTTGGTGTGCCCTGCTATGAAAATTAAAACCATCTGGAACTCAAGATTTCCAATAATTAATCTAGCCCTCTTTTGACACCACTACTAATTAAAATATGATACCCACTTTTCCATGAAAAAAAAGAAGAATTTACATAAAATTTAAAGATCTAACAAGAATTTAGTAATTCTAGACATTCTTTCCCCCCCCCCCCTGTTTCCCCCATCCCTAGTAAACACTGAGTCAGGAGTATCCACCAATGCCAAGATGGGGGTGGGGGTGATACAAGTCCTCCATCATCCCTGCCCCCCTTTCATTCAAACTCCCTATGATTTCCCCCTGCTAGCTTGGTCCCAGAGAACACAGAGCCAAACATCATAACAGGTCTGGGACTTGCTTTCTTCATCTCCTTCCCTAAACCAGGCAACACAAGATGTAGGCTTGAGAGCATAGGGGTGTCAGGTAGGTTCTCCAGCTCCGAGGATTTCTCCCACCCGTAAAGACAACATGTGTAAGAGAAAAGGGAAAATGAATTGGGATGCAGAGATCTGGACATGGATCCCTGACTCACTTGTACGACCTTGGGCCTCAGTTTCTTCATCTGTAAAATGAGGATATTGTTGTTGGTTGCTGTCAGTAGATCCTGATGCCTAATAAGCCTGTGCGTGCCCAGTAGAATTACACCAAGGGGTGTTCAAGGCTCTAACCTTTCAGAAGCAGATGGCCAGGCATATCATCTGAGGCACTTCTGGGCGGGTTCAAATCGCCAATCTTCCAGCCAGTAGTTGAGTGTTTAACAGTTTGTGCCACATGATCCCTAATCTTCAACAGTTATTTGTGAGGTGTGTACAAAATAAGTTTGGTGTGGCACTGTAGGATAAGCACTGGACCAAAAGGTCAATTTGAACTTCAAGATCGGCAGTTCAAACTCATCAGCCGCTCCTCAGAAATCCTATACAAGGTTGCTATGAGTCTGAATCGACTGGACGGCACTTCACAACAACAACAAATAGCCTAGCTCCCTGTTCTCAGCAATTGGACAGGGAAAACTAAGGGACTATTGTTGGCTTTTCCTGATAACTGCATAACCAGATGGTTTTCCTGAAAATAAACAAAATTAAAAACCATAGTGGAAAAAATCAGAAGTGTGGCAAAGGGTAGATGCAGAGCATAACTTGTCTCCCCAAGTCTTGCCTTCTGATCTGAACTTCCTGGGCATCCTCTAGGGACCCAGGCATCCCACACTGTGAGGTGTATCAGAAAGCACCTCAGGTGGGGACTTCTGGGATCTGACTACCTTTGGCATTGCCATCCTAGGCTGTGTGAGCCTTCACAAGCCATGTATCCTCCTCTGAGCCTCAGTTTCCTCACCTGTGCATGAAGAGGGTTTTATCCTCTCTAGTTCTCCCTAGCATTGGGGAGCAGAGTTTGGAAGAGGGGCAACGGTGAGGTCACAGTGCTGAGGACCAAGTGAGTCTGTCTGCCTCTTCCCAAACACATTGGGCCTGAGTCTATCCTCAAAACAGTATCTGTTGACCTGGGTCCTGTGTGAGCCCACTAAAGCCACACATACTCACAAAATTGAGTATCCTTGTTCCCATTTCACAGAGGGACAGAGTTCAGAAACTGAGGTTCAATGAGGCAACTTAGCAAGAGGGGCTAGGTCTTCCTGCCTCTTTCAGGAGTGGGGGTGAAGGGGGCAGGGCTAAGCTCCAGGAGTGGAGGTTGGGCTCTGGGGAGATGTGTCCCAAAGCCCAACCCCCCACCACTCATCAGCCAGACCCACAGCAGGAGGCTTCAGCTCTTGCCAGAGCACGCCAACCAGGCTTGATTGACCCCCACCCCCACCCCCTGCAAGCCTAGCCGCCCCCTCCCAGCATGGGGAGGGTCTGCGCCAGGCCACAGCATCAGGGGAGCCAGAATTCTGTTCTCCCACCAACCGCAGCATGCGATGGAGTGACCTAGACTCCACTCGACGCATGACATCATGATGAGGGATCCGGGCCAGAATTATGTAAAGTCTTCGGGGAATAATATCAGCAGCAGTTCTCAGTAAGTGAGAGAGAGAGACACCACCCAGGCTAGGTTTGCTGCCAGAGCCTGCCTGGCCCTCAGCATTACGCTCCTCGCTCTCAGGCTCCCAAGATGCGGCTGTCAGGAGCCAGAAGCCTCATCTAGCTCAGTTCCTTCCTTGCACAGTGCCTGCACCAAGTCAGGTGGGAAGAGTTTATGACATTGTCTAATTCAATTCCACATCCTGGCGGCCACCATCACCTCAAGTCTGCACAGCTCAGCTGCCTGCCCCTGCTGCTAATCTTAGCCTCTCACTACCACCTCAACCAGGCTATCTTCCACACATCAGTCAGAGGTATCCTTTTGTTGTTGTTGTTAAGTGCCGTCGAGTCGGTTCCGACCCATAGCGACCCCGTAAGGATTTACACCCTCAGAAACCCTGTACAGGGTCGCTATGGGTCGGAACCGACTCAACGGCACTTAAAAGGTATCCTTTAAAAAGATCAATTATGTCCCTTGCCTGTTAAAAGCCTCCCAGGGATCCCCAACCCACTTAGAAGAAAATCTAAACTCTTAACTGGGACTTGCCAGGGCAGATGTTCAGGCTCTACTGGCCGTCCTGTACAGCCTCTCTCCCTCATTCACAGCCCTCCGGTCACACAAGCCTGCTCTTCCAACAAACAACACACCAAGCACACTCCTGCCTCAGGGCCTTTGCATTGGCTGCTTCCTCTGCCAGGAAGTTGCTTTACCCCAAGCCTCCCATAGTGGCTTCTCCTTGTCTCCCAGGTTCAGACTCAAATGTCGCCTGGACCTTCCCTGACCACACAATTTTCCTCTGTGTTCTCCTCTGACGGTACTGTATCCATTGCCATTTTTGTTGGCTGTTTGTACCCACCAGATGGTAAGCTCCATGAAGGCAAAGGCTTCTCCATCTTGTTTATCACTGTGATTAACAGGTGCCTGGGTAGCACAAGCAGTTAAGTGCTGAACTACTAGTTTAAGGGTTTGTGGTTCAAGCCCACCCAAAGATCCCTTGGAAGATAGACCTGAAAATCTGCTTCTGACATATCACAGTCTTGAAACCCCTATGGTGCAGTTCTGCTCAGCACACATGAGGTTGCCGTGAGTTGGAATTGACACAGTAGCAACTAACAACAACAACAACACATGTCCAGCTTAGAATAAATGACCAATAAATCAATTTCATTAAATGAACAAAGAACCTTGTGAAGTAAGTATGACCCCTGAAAAATGAAAGAAAATGAGCTTCAGAGAGGTGAAGGGACCCACCCAAAGTCACACAATCAGTCAGGGTAGGATCGGAATCTGATTCTATAGTAAGTGCTCTTCCCAACTCCGCTCCCTCCTAGCCAGAGCAATTGCTGACGTGTACTACTCGGCAACCACTAGAACCTGGAGCTCCAGCCCACTCTGTCCCCAACCTTGGTGTTACTATCAAATAGTCTGACTTGCTGTGTGACCAAGCAAAAAACCCTGCCCCTCTCTGGGCAAGGACCAAGTGACCTCCTAAGGACTATTTTGGTTCTGGCCCTTCTGAGAAATAGAGCAGTAACTCAAATTTATTTAGAGCTTGTAATATGCTGGGCACTGTTCTGAAGATAAGTGTATTATTTAATTTCATCCTCATAACAATCGTATGAGGTTAGAACTATTCTTATCATCCCCATTTTACAGATAAGAAAATTGAGTCCCGAAGTCACACCATGATGGAGCTAACTCAGATGCAAACTCAGGTAGGATGGCCTAGGATTCTTGGTGTTCCACTTCTCCTCCACCATAGCTGCTTCCT